TTTTGCCTCCCTCGCGGATTTTGGAAAGCGCTCCAGATCTACGAGTGGAATTCACCATTAGAGTGCCTGTACGGCGCCATATGTGATATACTTCGCCTTTCACAGGTCGCTCATGTGCATGATCCATCCGCCGCAGGATTAAACGTATGTTCGCTATGAATAAATGCGCGTTACGAAATGGCTCTGTCCGCTTACGCGCACCGCGTGCACGTCCCTCATCCACACTCTAAGTCAACTGATCTGCTTGCATCAGGGAGAAGGATGGTTTTCAGGAATGTTCACACCGCGGAAAACTGCTCAGAGGCTGCATTCACAATGCTTTGTTAAATACAACCGCTGCGCGAAATGCTGACGCATTTGTTCGAGAATCAGTGAGCGGTAGCTCACTGATTCTTGAACACCAACCACGCCTCTGTGAGGTGTGGCTGATGTACACCAGCCACACCGGTGTGACTGGTGTACATCGTCAAAGTCAACTGGCCACTTCCAGTGAACAAGACTGCTCCCGCATTCTTCAAACAAAAAGAAAGAAAGGAGCGAAGACGTTTTAGAGGGGGCGAGCGCTCCAGCTCCCATTACAACCACCACTGAGTTGCGGTGACGTCCAAACGACGCCGAGCGCTGATATTGGTCTTGATTGAAAGGATAGTGGGTAAACCTCAATGCTAGATGCCTTGAAGTCTAACCACTATATTTTTTCCGTCAGCCAATTAGAGCTCGACGTTCTGACATCCTCCCAATTCTTGTCCAAGAAGCAGACGAACTTGCGCGCCGCATTCTTCGAATGCTCAGACTTGCTAAATTTCATGTACAAATCCTATCGTGGAGGTCGCTAATCACGTCATATGCGGGCCAGAAATATGCATGCCTTTTGGGTATCTCCTCTTGTAAATAATTTTTGACAGCTAAGCGCTTTGTCGATTGGCACGGCTGAGCGGGCGGCGGTTTTTAAACCGTCATAAAAAAAAAGAGATCCAAGGACATCTAAGCCTTTTTTAAGAGTTTCGAATGCGAAAGGGATTACTGCCCGATGTAAAAATTAAATAGCGCAAAGGTTAGGCAAAGGACAAAGGACAGAACATCTAGACAGGACAAGCGCTATAGCGCTTGTCCTGTCTACATGTTCTGTCCTTTGTCCTTTGTCTAACCTTTGCGCTATTTAATTTTTACATCATGCATATCCAACTAGCCCACCTCAATATCTTAGCATGATTACTGCCAAATTGAACGCCGCCGAGTGCTGGCGTGGACGGCCACATTTCGCTACGGCCGATGTTGCGGCTATAGAATTATTATAATGTACGCTAGAGGTTCAACTGGCGCTAGTGTCTACGCGACTTTCGTGACGCCGATTCAAGCAGACAGCAACCAGTCTACTTTTGTGGTGCTCCTGTGCATTCCTATGGGAAAACGCATGTGCATTTTGTCTCTTCGCCGGAAAATAACACGAAACACTTTGGTTATTGGTATCGTACCGAATAGTACGTACCTTGATTAACATTGTAAAAGTGTAATTGCTTTAGTTAGCGCATTTTTCTTCATCAGTGAACGATGTTTAACTTCGCTGCATTTCAGTCCCAAACATGTCTTCCACAGCAGGTGTGTAAAAACAAGCGACGATTCTAAGCAAAATTACAATCGAAAGGAATATAGAGTGTGTTCAAGGCTCGCCAGCTCCCCGGTGACGCTTATATATTCATAATATGCCAGTCCTTTCACTATATGAAAATGACCCCGTAGTGCATAAGCGGATAAAAACATTCAAATAGAGAATAAAGTACGTGGTCTAAGAAAGGCGTCTCTTCATATTGTTTTCTCTGTCAAGCAGCTTTTATCGGGCACTTGTTCTCAAAGCTCTCGAGGGTGCGGGTGATGTTTTCGACGCTGAACAAATATTTTCGCACATCTTCACGAGCAGAAAGAGCAAAGCGGTACTTACTTATTTAAAATCGGACTATATTACGTGGCCTTCAAATTATTTTAATCGTACATGCACTGGTAGTTACTGATCCAGTGTTGCTGCGTAGTTCTTGCCGTCTCCCTTGGTTTCCAGATGTCCTTCGTTCGTTTGGCACGTATATCCCTCACGCTGAAAAGCGCCGACGTTGTCTTCGTGGTAACAGTGCCCGACAGTGCACATAAATACACCTGCGGAGCCGTTAAAGCACCGTTTTTAATGCGATAAATTTGAAAGATAAACGCTGTAACTGACCAATTATTTTATCGGCCTGACTGAGAAATGTTACAAGCTACCTAGTACGTGCGAATTATTCGGGATATTTGCTCTTATGATCGAGCGCAGGGAGAAAATGCACTCACTCTTTACCATAGAAATGCATTACCGGAAGTAAATTTCGGACTGGTTGCTGTCTGCTTCAATTTGCGTCAGCACACTAGCGGTTCGAATCCAGACCGAGGTGCCCGCAATATGACGGAGGCTTATTGCGGAGAAGGCGCCGTGTAACCGAGCTTTCGGTTGCACGTCAAAAGATCCCCAGGTGGTCGAAATTAATCCTCAGTCCTCCGCTGGGGCGTGCCAGATGCCCGTCGTTGGTTTGGCACGTAAAACCCCCAAATTTGACTTAGCACACTAGTGCCACTTGAACCTCTAGCGTACATTATAATAACTCTATGGTTGTGGCCGCCCACGATATAGATGCCACTTGAGACGCTTTGATTCGAGGTTTGCTTTCGCTGGTGACTGCTGCGCTGCTGGGTGAGGCAGCGGCGGGAGATCGAAGCTCGGCGCGGTGCGAGTTGAAATCACGTGCCCTCTCATCATCATCATCGCCTTAGCTGCGGGTACTGGTTGACGTACCTCAAAGCGCAAAGTTAGGCTTAACATCATGCCTAACGTTAGGCCTAACGTCAGGCCAGCGGATACTTACGTTCCCCCTCACGTCAAACAACTGCGTGTACAGGTTGACGACGTTAGATCTGAAAACGTAACAATAGGCCTGACGTCAGGCCTAACATCAGGCCAGTGCATACCCGCGTCCCCGCTTCCCGCTGCGCAGCCAGCAGTTCTGATGGCTCCTTAGCAACGATGACGCCGTTGCTATGGAGCCACATGACGCGTCGCAGCCAGTGAGAATTTAGGAGCCGTTTTGCTGCTACAGACAATTCCGCTTTCGCTTCATGAGCAGTTAATGTGTTCGCGTTAGCAAAAAAACACCCCAGTAGCATTCTCTTTTTCGCGCAACGTACACCCCAAAAGTAGTTCACAGTTTCGACCTAGAATTATGTTTTTCTCCGCGCTTGAAAGGGGGTGCAAAGTTGGGAGATCGGTGTCGCGAAACGAAAACTTGCTCATGGAAGTGATGTCGCACAGATAACAGGGGCTCCTAATGCGCAGTAGGTTTGCGCAGTAGACCATTTCAGCTCACATTCTCACTCTTTACATTCGCACCTTCTGCGAAGGACTTCACGACTTTGACTTCGCCCTCGACGTCATCGTAGAGGTCATCCCTGAGTTCGTTTAGAGGTCATCCTAGACGTCATCTTTGAAGTCGTCCTGTAGGACGTCGTCCATGAGGGCGTTCTAGAGTTCTTCCTTGAGGTCGTCCTAGAGGTCCTCCTTGAGGTCGTCCTAGGGGTCTAGAGGTCGTCGTTAAGATCGCCCTAGAGGTTACTGTAGAGGTCGTCCTAGACGTCGTCTTTGATATCGTCCTTTGGAACGTCGTCCTCGACGTTGTCTTAAACATCGACCTTGAGGTTGTCGTAGACGAATGCTATTGCAATTCATAGACAACAAACAATAGTGGTTTCTGCAGGAATTTCTCATCTGCTGGCTTGCTCGCTTCAACGCAACGCGCTCCTTCCTGTCTGATTGAAACGGCGATAGACACCGCTCCGGCAGCCGCGATTCCGCAATCTTTACTCATCGCTCTTTACAGCTACCGAACTTGCCTCCTCTGAGGCACGGGCAGTTCACGCGACTCTCAAGCGACCCCCCCCCCCCCCCCTCTCTCTCTCTCTCTCTCTCTCATTTCCTATGCCATCCATATCTAGTTTTGCGGAAATTTATGCAGTAATACACCTAAGCATCGACCTTTTTTTTTTTTTTTATGTAATACAGTGTTTTTAAATCTATTCGGGAAAACAGATACACCATGAAACGCAAAAAATAGCAGGAAAAGGAGAAAATTTATCCGCCAGCAATACCTGATATTGCGCCTATCTAAATCGACAGTCCCCCATGGTTAGCAAGGACGATTATGAGAGACTCGCCTAAAACCCATTGCATGGGCTCGAAAAAGGCTGTCTTTTATGTGGCCGGAAGATTCATGGAGATGTGTATACACCGGCACGCGACCCTAACGCAGTGCCCCCACCACAGGCGGGCTTGTTTGTCAACAATGTGCTGGTGCACCTCTTTACAAACAATTTCGGATTTGCGCGCACCAGGGATGGAGACTGGGGGTGTGCAGGAACCAGATCCGCGTCAGTGTCTGCGGATGTGCTACCACGACAGCAGCGCCACCGCAGCTGCGTGACGTCATAGCCGTATGTTGGTGTATAGGAAACGGCTTTTAGTGCGTAAGTTGATCAGTGACGTTGGCAGTCGTCAAGCGTACCGTACAGCATTGTGAGATTTTGCCAGGTGTTAAATGAGCTTGGACTGTGTGATATTATGCTAGTGAATGACCGAAACGTTTTCCAAAATAAAACCTTTCAGGATTTTCGGTTCCAGGGGTTTTCACTTCTTGAATACCTACCGCTTTTGAGCTTGTCAAGCTACTTGCTCCACCTGACACCAGTAGAAATTACGATAGAGAAAGAGCGCCATGTATTTTCGCCTTATGGGCCCCCATGTTTACGCGATATGTCACTATTTTGGTAATTTTGTATTTCCTAAAATATTACGGGTTTTTATTTCATACACAGGTTTTTAGTAAAAACGGTATTCAATAATTAGTTTTCGCATGATAAAAAAAGCTAGAGAGTCTCTGGATTATCCAAACATATCTCATTTGTATTTCATTGTTAGCAAGACTTACCTGAGATCCGTGGAGTTTGCAAAGTAGATTTGCCGCCTGATCAAGAAAACTGTAGCAGTGAAAATCAGTGTAAAGTCCAAGCGAAAACCCCTCTGAAAAAAAAGGAAAAAATCTTTTTTTTAAAGGGCAACTCCGCTTCATTTTTGATATTTAGAAAACTATGTAGCCCTCTTCAGTATCATATAGGAAGAACCCATGTCAAATATTACGATCTAATTCCGTTTATATATTTAATAAACTGGCCAGCAAACCTTCAAGCAAGCCAAGTCGCCGAAATTTGCCAACTCGAGCGTGCGGCGCGAGGCGCAATCATCAGCGCAGTCAATAGGGAATTGTAGTAGACCGTTTTCCTTATCCGCTACAGTATCCGTGAAGAAAACGCCGCAGCTGCGGATCCGCGCCGCCAGCCTTGTCTCCATAGTTCAAGGTCTTGTTGGGGATTACGGAGCGCTATCCGGGTGCTTAGCGCGCTGCGGAAACGGTCTACTACAATTCCCCAATGCCACGGAGTTGGAGCGGCCAACGTTGAACCACTACGTCAGAGGCAAGACTACGTCATTCTCACGTTTTGCTTGTTTTTACTTCTCAGAGCGAAATTGAACAATGACGTCATGAGTTTCTCGTCCCGGTGTTGGCTGACCGGGCGTTCACGTGATCACCGTAACACGGATGCGCTAGTTTGCGCTGCCCTGCGCGCTTATCAGTCGGTTTCTCCGGTTTCTCCGCTCCCCTTCTCCTCTTTCGTCATCTCCCCTTACCCCTCTCCCCCGGGCCATCACCATCCACGCCATGCAAAGCGACCTGCCCGCGTCCAATAAAAAAAAAAAAAAAAAAAAAAGACCTGCCCGCGTCGCGTGTCCTGTTTTTCGCTCCCTCCCGAACGTCACAAGACCACGTGGTTCGACGTCACGTGGCCATGACTCTGACGACCCGAGACCAATGTGGCCTGACGCAACCGAGGTTTCGGTTTCGGTATCTGCTGATGTTTAAATTAGGATTACAAAAATAATATTCTATATTTCGCGAATCCGAAGACGTAGAGTTGTTTAAGTGGTGCTTTGTGAATGTGAATCACATGGAAGCCTAAATTTTTTGGAATTGAGCGGAGTTGCCCTTTAAAGGGATACTTCAACGAAATTTTAAATATCCCCGTCGTGTTCAAAAATAGGTTGAATATGATCCACAATATCCGTAAATGACAATCGCCAGTTGTATTTTGATCCTGGTAGCTGTATTTTTCGTTATAAACGGCTCACTCTGGCAAGCGCTAAGAGAAGGCCCAGCTTAGAGCACGTGACATCCAACGCAATCGTGACGTAGGTCGTCTCAAGACGAGCAAAGCTACGGCGAGGCTGACGTCGAGAGGATGGCCTAGTCGTTCCAGCCACCGAAGCGGCTGCTTTTGTACAAATTTTGAGCGACGGGTTAATCTTCTATAATCTTCTAGGGGGACAATAGCGACTTCTGCGAAACATAAAAGGGATTCTCGAGAAGAGGGGAGTTCCTCCTTCCCCCCTTCTCTCGTCGTGGCCGGAGACGAGACAACCTCCGTCACTAGCTGTCAAGGTTCCTAGACGAGCATTACAAACGAGGCGTTAGCGACATCCACCAGGTGCTCTTTGCTAATCGTTTAATTCGTTTTAAAATTTCTCTTCGAGACTTTTTTAAAAAGATATTGGTAAGTTCCATGTGATACTGCTCTTTTGAGCACATATAGACCAAAAAATGAGCTCCGAAATTTCGTTGTAGTCTCCCTTTAAGGTACAGCGAGGCAAGGAGATTATAGTGAGTTTTAGTATTGCGTATACGAGCAAACGCAAGCACTGATAGTAATCTCTGGAGAAGGAGAACAAGGGCGACAAAGAACAAACACAAACCTCCAAACACAGTTCGGAGATTTTTGCTTGTCCTTTGTCCCCATTGCTCCCCTTCTCCAGGGGTTATTATCGTTATCCTTGTCCAGCTCGCTTGCACAATTGCATTAATTGCATTATCTTAGCACGCACTGTGCGTTTCCGCAAGCATTGCATAAGATGCTCGTACCTTTCTAAGATAGAAGATAGAAGTTCGCCTAATTAAACTTTGATTTTAAGTTCTACTTCTGTCAATCATTTTTATTCATAACAATAATCATTTCATTTTGTTCTTAGCCCGAGACTGAGGCAGGAAAAGAGGAAAGTTTCAAGGTAGAAGAAAAATGAACAGTCGAGGACACGTCTCTATACACTCCGTGCGGGAACTATAGGGGGCGCTTTGAAAAACGCGCGCAGCGCCGCTAGCGGAGGAGCTGGCGTTCGACCGTGAGGCGCGTTCAGCAGCCTGCGGCGCCTTTTCGCGTGCCAAGCTGTGGCGGCGGAAGCGCGCACGGACGGAACTTTTGCTTTTTGAGGCGATACGTTGAGGGTGACGTTGCATGACAGCTCGGGCAGACCTAAGAAGGGTGTCTAGATGTTCTCCACTTCTTATATACTGAGTTTTAGTCGTTATTAGGGGTAATTTCCTTAGTTGCGGCCAAAAAAGGAGTTGGAGCAATTTTCCGAAAAGCAAGACGGCCGCCACCATAATTGCTTTGAGTGGGAAATCTATTTCGCTCGTCGCTGTAAACGTAGGTCTGCTGGGACGATGATATTGGAGGCGAGTGAGATGTTCACTAAGTATCTGCACGAGGTGTGCCAAGTTTCATTACAGGTGTGAAAGTGGTTTCTAACGAATAAAGAAATAAAGCTGTACGGTATATCCAATATTGGACCCAAAATGTTATGTTATAGCGGGCTCTGCTAAGTGCAGGTTTGGGCACACAGGTGCTTGGACTTGACAGTAACGTGACACAGCACTTATTATACAAAAAAAAGGTGGCATAGGGAAACCAGGTGAAAACTTGGTTTGGGAGGCGTAACTCAGCGGGAACCGGTTTTGACCATGAAAAGGCTGTCAACAGAATACCACTGGTCGGGGGAGGTGGAGACTTTAGAGGTAGGAAGGGACTAGTGGACTGTACTTCCAATTGAAACAACTTTACGAAAGGTGGTTCCAAAGCCGAGAAAACAAAGTTGTCGGCCAACACACGGTTTGGCTGCCAAGTGCTTTTGCGGTCAGCCGTTGTGTAATAACCTGTTGTGCGAGGTGCTGATTTTCGGCCCACAGGTACTTTGACATGACCGTCACTTGACACAACACTTATTATAACAAAAATAGTTGGCATAGCGAAACCAGGTGGAAATTTAGTTTGGGCGGCGTAACTAAATGGGAACTGGCTTTGACCGTCTAAGGCTGTCAGAAAATACCACTCATCGTTGGAGGTGCACACTTTACAGGTAGGAAGGGACCAGTGGACGGTACTTCAAGTTCGAACCACTTTGCGATAGGTGACTCTAAAGCCGAGAAAAAAAAATGTTGTCTACAGAACTCGGGATGCCAGTGTTTCCACATCCAAAAAGGAGGCTGATCAAGAACAAGCACACCACATAAACTTCCATACTCAAACGCCGATTCTCCAGTGATTCCGAGTTTCATGGCTGTTTTCTTTAGATTTATATTTGTCACTTTTTTTACCGTTCGAATCTTTCTTCATCAAGTACAGATTGCGTGCCATATTTCTCCGAAAATATCATCGACACGTACAATGGGGACGAAACTTCTTTGGAGGGCATTCCTCCAACGAAATTGGCACTGCATACCCGCGAGTGTGGGATGGCATTTCAGTTCGTCCCATCGGCGCTGACACATGTTGGCGTTACTGGTACGAAAACAAACGCAGAGCGCAAAGCGGCAGTGTAGAATATGTCAGTGGCAGACATGATCGGGACACCAAATTTCTCGTGTCGTACGGCACGGCTCTATCGTTGTCGCTGTCCCACAAAACATTGGCGAGGTGAAAAACTGTGAAACTTTGTCTCCACGAGATACGGCGCATAACTATTGAAACACTTAATGACGCAGCACAGGCTGCGAACCCAGCGCAACAGCACCATTCCGACTTGAATGCGTACCAACGTACGCGGCGTGGTTTCGGTTTCGTTTTCTCTGGGGTTCTCACTGCCTACCTTCGGTACCGGCCGCGCGGCGGCGCGCCAGTCGCGTCGCACGAAGTGTATAGAGAGACGTGTCCTCGACTGTTCATTTTTCTTCTACTTTGAAACTTTCCTCTTTTCCTGCCTCAGTCTCGGGCTAAGAACAAAATGGTTAACATCCCCCAGCTCGCCTGCGCAATCACTACATTATTAATCATTTCATGTTATCCAACAAAACATTTGAATGGTAGATTTGCAAATTGGGACACCTACAAAAAACATTAGATTACATAACTAAATATGATCATCCGTTATACTTTTAGCACTACACATTAGGTGCATTTTTAATAAGTGATTCCTTAATCCTCTCTACAGCTTCCAAAACCGCACTACTCCGGGGGGTTGCGGCCGCTTCATTTGCGACACCAAGATAATCCAATCACCTGAACGCATGCAATAGACGAAAGATGAGAAGTTCAACAGTGTAGCGTGTATAAGACTCATAAAGATGCCCTGAGGATGTTTCTGAGATCGCCTCAATATGGTAGATAACTCACTCTGTTGGCTCTAAGTATCCCATAAATTCCTAAATCATTACAATACGCGCCAGATTTCCTACTAAAAATGCAATCAAAAACTGGAACACATCAAGGTCCTCTCAGGCAAAGGGAGGAGCATGTTTTGAAATAAGGACCACTGTCAGCCCATAGCAAGCGAATGATTATGGCGCCTTGAACTAGCGGAACCGCGGAGTAATGTATTGTATGCGCACAGCTCGTTCCCTAACAGCCCGGTCTACGATTCAATCCAGCGAGCGCGCGCTCGAAAGCTGACGATTGGATACAACTATCCCGCAGGAGAAAAAAACAAAAAAAACAAGCATAGTCAGTTATTTTTTTAGACGATTATTGCAGTATTACGTTCTCGCTCCACAAAAAAAAAAAAAAGAACACTTTTTGACTACTCTCATTTGCTTTTATCATCTACAAAAGCATACAGATTTTCTAATAACAGCGTTTGCAATCTCATCGAAATGTCACGTTTTCATTCGTCACATGTCGTCCCTGCTTCCGGAACAGTGGTCCTCCCATCGCCGGAGATGGCTTCGGTTTGTTGAATCTTTCATTGTTTTTTTAATAGAGAAATCAGTCGCTCATCGTTATGGTTTATGGACTTCTGGGATGCTTAGAACCCGCGGAGCAAGTTATCGCCGTATTTAGGCGATCTCAGAAACCTCCTCAGGGCACCTCAAAATGCTTTACGATGCGCTGACTTTTTTCTGGTGAAATGTGCATTAACACATCCTGTTACAGCCTTTCTAAAGCAATGGTTGCAATATCAAACGATGTTAAGAGAACACTGGTGGCATCCAATCACAGATGTTTCTTAAAGAAGTAAAACTGGCAAAAAAATTTCGAGAGAAATCGGAAACACAATCTTATGTTTATTCAATATCTACATCTCTAATATGACTTACCGCCTTGAAATGCCGGTAGAATAAGAACCACGGCGAAAAGTACGAGCAGTATGTTGCTGATATTGCGATACATAATCAGTCTAACAGGAACGTCCTCCTAAAATAGAAAGAATGACATAAATATAGCCTCGAAATTCGACAGTACAATTGTTTCCTCCGAACGTAGAGGCTACACGTTTAAAGGAAAGCTTCTGCGAAACATCAGTTGCCATAGATTTGGATAAGACATTCACCGTGTTCTAAACATTTCCGCCTGAATAAGCCTACGAAATATATCATCAAAATATTTATTATCTCTTGAGAAAACAAATTTTAAAACTTACGCGTCGGAATCACTAACTTCCGCTCTACTGGCAGCGCTGAGCAGCGGAGGAATCGATTTTGACGTCAGATGTTGTATCCATGAGTAGAACCTTCCTCCTCGTTGTACGTTGTAGCCAGGGATGGGCAGTATTTCAAATACAAGTATTTGAAATACGTATTTTAAATACTTTGTGTATTTTGCATTTGTATTTAATTACAAATTGGGTAATGTATTTGACGTGTGTATTTAAATACTAAAACGTGGTTATTTCAAATACAATTGTAATTAAATACAATTTTGCGGGCGAAAATACATCCCTCAAATTTATTTTCACTGTCCAGAGCAGGAAGAAAACTACGTTCTGCACCAACGCAGCGTCTCTCAATCAAGCACAAGCGTTTAGTGACTTTGTGATTACGGTGCTAGTCCAGGGCAAGAATAATGACGAAATCGACGTTCACAGGCAGACTTGCTAAATACGTTCCTGTGACAACTTGTGATGCTTTCCAGCCTGATTACCATCCATATTTTTACCTGGAACATTCTAAATGCGCGGGTCGTCCAGAGTTTCTTAACTGGTATGAGTTGCAACAATAAAAAAATTCTGTAGCTAGTGCTGCGCGTCTTGGTCGTCTCGGTTCTTTGTTGCTCTATACCAAAATGTAATCGACAAAAAAAGCTGCTTGAAGTTCTGTACTTTTTTCACCTATTCCGTTCAAGCTGATTACATTTTTTGTGTGATTATATTTCTATTACTTTACTAGAGCCTCGCACACTAACTCCCGAGTGTGCGATCCAAAATAAAAATGAGATACCCAGAAACCCGTTGCAGGTGCCCTGAAGTCGCTGACGCAAATTTGGAGGAATGTATTTGGAAAAGTAATTGGAGGAGACCAAATACATTTGGTTGTATTTGTATCTTGTAATTAAATGCTTTTTTGGAAATGTAATTAGATTTGTAATTAAATACATTTTTGACGAAGTATTTCGTATTTGTATTTCAATACATATTTGCATGTTTTTTTCCCATCCCTGGTTGTAGCAATTTGAAGTGTGCGACGAGGCAGTGGTGCCACAATGCAGCTCCTCGCAAAAAACATTTCGTATTGAACGCGACCTGACTGGCATAGAGATTCTGTGTAGCAGCCAACCTTAGTTTCTAAAGTTGGCTTACCTTAGCGCAGCGCTACATTCAGGGCCGAACTCGGCGCTAACTTTTTCACACGACACCTCGAACATGAGAACACAGATCCCTTTCATGCGTTGGCAAAAACCGTCGCAATCATCTCAATTCCAGCACGTCTACGCAATCCGTCGGCAAGCGAGGAGCCATTTGATCTGAAAAAGAGCGAAAAATACTTCTCACGTAAATTTTATCAATTACTGGCTCTGATGAACGTCGTCTCATAGTGACTTCCAGACCGCCGCGAACACGAACGCTTTGCGGAGGCATATTCCGGAGGAGAAGCAAAAAAACGTGGCGTCGTGTTGCTGCCGTTGCCGCTTACAACTGCAGGACAGATGATTGAAACCAAGCTCCAAGCTACTCCTGCGGGTCGAATGAAGTGAAAACACACTCAGAGAAGGCTGGACGCGGGTAGGTTTTCGAATTTCATGGTGTCACACCTTTACTTCAGGGCGAGATCGAGAAACACGGCTGCGAGAAGGCGCCGACGGCGCAAAGGTGCTGCGAGAAGAGGTCAGAGCGGGTACAGCCTTTCTAAACGTGGACGCTGACGTTGGTGGCGCGGCCAACCACTGCCTTCTCGTGTGGCCTCCCGCGCACCGTCTAGGTGTCGCACGATCTCAATAATGAGCTGTTGTTAGTTTTGCGTGCTGTGTCTAGTATGCGATGGACGGAAAGGTGAGGGGTGGGTGGGGTAGGGGATTGACACCCTGCTGGAGGGCACAACAACACTGCGGAGAAATGCAGCAGAGTGGCACATCACCGGTTTCCGACCGACAAGTGTCTGCGGTGGAAGTGGGCATGGCCAGTGCGACGCGAACGCCGCTTCTCAGCGGACGCCTAAACAGTTCACATCGGGTTAGCGAACAAAACCTTCGATAATTCTACTCTCGAGGTGGCACCTGGGTCCACATGTCGAATCGCAAATGCGACCTTAAAAAAAAACATATAAATAAAAAAAATCAAAAAGCCTGAATGGGTAAAGTACGACTTAAAATAATGTAAAAACGAAACAAAAAAATCTAGAGCCATATTTACCGCGCGAAACGAATTTGTAGTTAGCGTCCGCGGGAGCCGCCACTAATCACGTGGTAAACCTTTGCGACGCCACGCTGCGCCGCCGCCGCCGCCAGTCCAGAACCTCCATGCCGCCGCCGCACGCTGAGCATAGCGCGCCGCCGCCGGAAGGGAACACTCCGACAAGCCGCCGCCGTCAATTTCTCACAGGCGTACAGGTCTATATCACGTGGTGCTTGCGCCCTTTTCGGGAGCTTCTAATGGGCTTTAACAGTTGCTTCCCAAACTTATTTTTTCCTTTTGCATTTAAAACGAAGTTTATTAAGTAACTTTTAGAGCCCGCGTAAGCTGTTGAAAGACAGCGAGCACCACGTGACTATAGTGGCCAGTCACGTGACTGTAGTAGCCACTTTTCCTCGGGCTCCTGCGGGCGCCAACTACAAATTCGTTTCGCGCCGTAAAAATAGCCCTAACATATCTTTTTATATTATAAATTTGTTTTATGACAGCTTGGTTTAAAAGAAGAAACAGGGCCCAGAAAGACCAAAGCATATTTGTAAAATTTACGACGTATATTTTTGTCCGAGTGTCAACCGGAATATTGAATTGTTTTTTTTTTTTAATCCAGAAAGAAACTAAAGACATATTGAGATGGGACTAGCAAAATAAACACCGAACAAAATCTCAGTTGCAACATGGATTTCCCAATGCTTTGACATACTACTCTCGTAATATTCGTTTTTTTTTTTCAAGCGGTACACTTTATTATAGGTTTAACAGGACAAAACCAGACATGTGCAGGTTACCCGCAAAAATAAATCAATTCAGTTACTCGTTACTCACTCGAAAAGCAACTAAATACGCTGCTCGTTACGGATTCTCAAAAGGAACACGTTAGTCTACTTCCAAAGTAGCGAGTTACTTTTCTCGTCACTTTGACAACGAAATACAGAACTGCTTTTGTATCAGGGCTCCTCTCATGGTTCGTTGTTTTATTTTCGGTAGTCGTTGCACTTAAGTAGCTGCGTCTCGAAGTTTCCATCAGGTATTGTTCGCCGCTTCCTTCACAATGGATTTCCGGCGACGCTGAAGAGTGGTTCTACTGACGCGATCGAAAGAACGGCAATGTTCTGCTTAAGGAAGAGCTGGTGAAACTGGGATACTCCTTTCACTTTTGTTCTCTCTGCTTCTGAAGTTCGAAGTTGACTATGTGTTCTGAGCCTTATTGCGGGCGTTGGAAACCTCCAGGTTTACATTCGGTCTGTACACGATTCTAGAAGCTTCAACCAACGAACCTTATTGTGTTCCTCTTGGTGAAGGACATTTCTGCTGTAGAGTTCAACTGACGTGTTCAGCGATAAACGTTGCTGTACCCTCATACTGTTAAGTTCTTTTTCGGGTTCACTTGCTCTTGTCGCAACAAACGGATACTCAGGTTAGAAATGAAACGATGTTGTTTAAACGTTGTTCTACCCGTTACTCCTCAAAAGTAAGGAAATACCATTACTCGTCACTTGACCTTAAAAGCAACAAAGTACGTTACTCCTTCCTTTTTTCTAAAAAAAAGTAACTAAATATGTTACTTCTTACCGAAAAAAAAGTAACTAGGTAGAAGCAATTCGTTACTATTAATGCATTGCGTACATGTCTGGACCAAACACCTGAGAAAGCAGGTAAAAAACGAAACAAAGACTGAAATGTCAGAAGTTTGTGTCGGCTTTTTTACCTTCAGTATCGTTTTTTTGTTTTTTTTTATCGTGACAGCTCGTTTGCACACTTACATTCAGTTCATTAACATGGGTTCCCTTTCTATTTCCTCAGCTATCTGAGATAACCCCCTAAAAAGCTAAAGCGCGTGAGTACGCAATCTTTTTTTGCTAATTTTAGGACATAATTAGGTTTTTTAATCGTGGGAAAGGCCAAAATAGCCCCCAGCAATAATATGACAATGTAGCCCCCCCCCAAAAAAAAAACCACCTACAGCAATCCGTTATTCGAACAAAGAGTGCTATGAATACAATTTCCCGAGCACACATTGAACTCTAGGCGCCTCTAGCAGCGCGGCCATTGCGACAAAAACTAAAACAAAAGCGTTGCAATATCGAGGAGAACTTACGTAAGGCTTTCTTGCTTCAAGAATCTTGAAGTGGCGATTGCAAGTCTGAGGTGGGGAAAGGTTGCTGGCTTATTTATATCCCAGGTTGTAGGCGTGTTCCTCGCAACGGGCAGTTCCGTGCGAATTGTCCCGCCAATGGTAGCTTTGGAAGCAGGTGGGAGGCGGCAAAGACTGCACCTTAAACTTGACCCTTAAGCCGGTGTACACATTTGCGAAAAACCGAACCGAAAATCGGAGAGAAATCGGAGGCTGCGAAAATCGTGGCATGCGATTTTCGGATGACGAGCCACATGAGGTGGAATGCGCGGCGCGGAAATCGCAATGCACTGCGGTTTTCGTGCTCCGACTTCAGGAGGCTGTTCGGTACTCTGGCGAACTGGCGTCCCATATTTCGCGCCTCTTTAAAACTTCAGCTATTAAAACCTCGTTGCAAGCCACGCGAGCCTTTTT